ACAGAAATGAAGGACTCCTTGGAAACACATACAAATATTCAATGTTCGGAACCATCGAATATCTTCAGCTCATTACAGTCTGGAGGAACAGATAATTACATACACAGCTCTTAAAGGTCTTATAAGTCACATGATGATTGATTGATTGATTGATATGTGGGGTTTAACGTCCCAAAACCACTATATGATTATGAGAGACGCCGTAGTGGAGGGCTCCGGAAATTTAGACCACCTGGGGTTCTTTAACGTGCACCCAAATCTGAGCACACGGGCCTACAACATTTCCGCCTCCATCGGAAATGCAGCCGCTGCAGCCGGGATATAAGTCACATGAGGTACTTTTGCATTTCTTCTATACAAAGTGCAGTACCATACTAGTGCACCTTCATTCATTCTGTGCATACATGTGGTGATCTTCTCTTCCAACAATTGTGTCATCGTGCAGCTGATTTCAAATCAGATGCTTCTCACAAGGTTTTCAGTTATCTGTCCAGCTGTAAACAGAACGCGCTTTATGTTATAGTAAACTGTAAAACGACGAAGAAGCGCCATTGTATGCCTATAGCTATAAGTATCAGAATGAACTATAAATTAAGAATGTCTGTGTTAGAATGACTCCAAACAACGTATGTGCTACTGAGCATGGCAGAGAGGCAGAAGAAGCGAGAAGTGAAATAGCAGGCAATACCAGCAGCACTTAATCATGCAACTTTCTTTTTCGATCACCACAGCAACGCACGCTCGATTTTCTGTCTTGTACGTGAATGGAAATGAGACCGCTGACAGCTCAATGTGTCAGCGTCGCTGGTACCCGACACGAAGTCACATGTCACTAGCTACCAACCAGCGCACGCTTGTTATTAGCTTGGCAACACACGAAAACGATTAGCACCGAAGCCAACGAATGTTTCCGCGTCATACGATTCGCGAATACACTTATATAAGTTCGTACGTTTTCACATCACGGAAATGTGTTGGCTAGTGCGAGGTTCGTTTTCAGCGATGATGAATACCGATGTTGAAAACAAACACAGTGCAGATAAAAACTCCTCCGTATGAACTACGCGATATTTCGGGCGTCGTATATGGTGTCTATGTTGCGACGGAAACTACCGTAGAGTTTTTTCAGCCGCTGTGCCTCGCATGTGCTGGTTCATACGAACTAGGTGGTAGAGGCCTGCGATGGATGCAGATGACACCGATCTGAATTGCCTCCGCGGTAGGCGAGGGCTCGCGCTCAAACCTTCGTACCTCCGAAGTCTGTTTACACTCGTTTTTAGCACAGAAAGTCACAGATCAAAGCACAAGAACACCGACATGCTCCTTTCGCTCGGCCGACGATCGCACACGGGACCGGCGCTAGCATAGCCGGCCGGCATTCGCTGGATTTGTCGGCCTCGCTCGAACTCAGCACGAAACCGTGTCACGCTGGTAGCACTCGCAGTCGTTCGTCGTTTCGTTGTCGTTCTAGATTACGAAGCGGTCATTCAGGAACGTTTGGAGTAGTTTTCATGCTTGCTTTCAGCACTCGGCTGCGCCTTCGAAGCGGCGGCCATTAGGCACAGCATTCGGAGTCATCGCGGCCTCTGGTTGGTTGGCGCCGCTGTACGCGTGGTGACGTAGCGTACGCGATGCCACGGCCCGGCTAGAGAGCGAGCGGCGCGCGCGCTTTTACGGCCTTCGCAAGAGGCCTAGTTCCTGCCTGCGGCCGCTGCTAGGAGCTGGCGCTGCGGGCCAACCATGCGGACGCGCTCGTCTACCACTCCGCGCGCGGGCGAGCTATGCGCGGCCTCTGCTCTTCTTTTTTTTTTTTTTTTTCACTACAATCACCGCTACAGGCGTACGCAGAAGGGGGGTTAAAGGGGGCCGGGTAGGAAGAACCAAACGAAGACTGCGTGCCCATCCCCGAATAATGGTTTCTGATCTTCGGCTGATTATTTGTGTCGCACGCTACGCACTAGCCCACGGCCGGGCTAGAGAGCGGCGCCGCGCGCGCTACAGCGCGCGCCGCTTTCTCTCTAGCCCGGCCGTGACCAGCCATACGCGACTTCGATGTATGTTCTCAAAGCGACGATGAGCCATTTTGCAATTTCTCTGAAGAAATTATTGAAATAATTACAAAATTCGACAGAACGTGGAATCGCCCTAAATTTTTAGTGTATCGTGAATGAATTACAAGCTTTGGCTTTTTTCTGTTGTGTGGTTTAATTTATGTGTACTTTTTTGGTCTTTCACGCTGCCCTCCCTGCCCCCCCTCCCCCTTTTCTGAACTGAAATCCTAAGTGCTCCGCTATCGTGGGCGCCCGCCATCGGGTGCAACAAACAGAATTGCTGCAAAATTTTGCTCTCAACGCAGCGTGATTGATTCGCCTTGGCTAGTTTCAATGTTTCGGTTTCATATGCAGGTTGAAGTACTTAGCGGCGTACTCTGATTGTCATAGGTTACGACTTAAAACTTGCAGAGCATAAGTTAGAAATCTTTAAAAACGCATGCCGAAGAAAAAGAGTCGGGGATAATCTGTGAACTGAAAGGCACCAGGCAAACTGGAAACGAGTTTATTAGTTTATTATATGGAAACGAGTTCGAGCACCAGAAAAATCATCTTCGGCGTGACAGAACAGTCTTGCACAAAATAAACGTTGTTCGAGCTGGAGAAGCTTCACAGTCGGAAGTGCTTCCTCGACGGCTTATGTGTATAGTTCATGTGCTTTTCATTGTCGTCGGTGACTCGAGTGGAGTGATTCACTAAAAGGATCCTGAAGAATTTGTCAGCAATCAAACTTGCTGACCGTCTTCCGTGACTACTGTCAACACTTTCGGGGCAGTTCAGCAGAGGTACGTCCTCAAGATGCGGTCCTACGAGCAGCTGTAGAACTTCGAGAACATGCGTGCGTGGCAGGTGTTTTGCTACTTTCTCGAACAATGTGACGATCCCGTTTAAAAGTGCAAGGAACTCTGGCCTGGGGTAGGCAAGGCCGCTTCTGTCCTGGCCTCTCAAAAGCGCGTACAGTGGCTGATCTTTGTCGCTTGTAGTGAGGAGCATGGCGCAAGATTCGCACCTGAAGTCCGTGATCAGTTTCCCGATGTAACCGCCGACGTAGGCCAAACCAGAGCATGTCACAGACAGTGGGGGAGCGGAAGTACATTCCCTAAGCTCTTTCAGGTTGTCAGAGAACGTCACCTACAGGCTACTGACCAACTTGTCAACATCAGTGTCGCACGTCACGACTTCAGGTGGCCTTGCGAACTTGGATTTTACAATTTGGTCCAAAGCAGCCGTCACAGCCTGGGCGTCGAGCATGTCGTTTCCACCGCACATCTACCTGACTCTGCGGAATACTGCTTCTATGGGGTCGCTGTTTAGCTTCCTTGTTAGCACGTAGTTGATGCCTTGGGTTAGGAGGTATCGAGTTGTTTCCACTGTTGACTTTGTAGTGAAAAGCAGGGCCTCAAATGTTTCGTCGGTGAAAGCGCCCTTCCCAGAGGCGACTGAGCTTGCTTGTACTTTCTTTACATAGCACGTGAAGTCATTTTCTAGCCACAATAGCCGGCCATCGTCAACGTCTGCAATGGGGGCCTTCTGCCCCGTTCCCCCGAAAGAGGTGTCGTGCATATCAAACCAATCTTTCATTGTCCTCATGAAGTGCATGGTGGAACTTGCTCGCCTAAATGCGGAGAGTGCAGGGTCATTGCGGGAGTTTTCTTCGAGGTGTTCCAGTGCTGCACAAACCTGTGGGGAGAAGATCTGAACCGCACGAAGTACATTCATCTTCTCCAGGTTTGTAGGGTAGACGTGCTTCCTCGTCAAATTCCTGGCAAGCTTGATTGTCATGTTCTTCTGGTGCTCGTACAGCTGTTGTACGAAGGTACCACTAGTCACACCTGAGCCATCCGTAAGCTGTCCCTCCAGGAACTGGTTGCGCACATTCTTCAGGACGTGGCAAGGATCGAAGCTGAGCAGAATGATGCGGCTGTCACCGTGTGGGTGCCTCACGACTGTTTGCAGAGAGCCACTCCCCAAGTGTTTAAACAAGGTGACGTTGGCTGAGTAATTGTGAGTCACAATGCGGGTCACAACGAAGCCACACAATTCCACCGCAGCGATCACCTCTTTTGTCCACGTGAATAGGTCTCTGCCACTCAGCTGTTTTGTGAAGTAATACGAACAGGGAATTTTGTACTTGCTTGACAGGCCTTGCAATACAAAGCACGAAACTCTGTTCGCGAGCACTTCCTTCGAGCTGCTGGGCGTATCACCGCCGGGCTTGTCTTTAAGGCCAAACACAGCGTCGGCCTTCCTGTCATAGATGCACTTGGGTCTGATGCTTGCTTCATCGATTATCAAGGAGGCCATATGCTGCTTGCTGCTCAGCATCGACGCCTCGGAAACGAACCTCTCCTTCATCGCGGCGCTCATTCCGGATGTCGTCGGGGATGGACCCATGTACCTCTGTAGAGTACACTTTGCAGGCAAGGTTAAAAGGCCCGACGTGCGAGCGTAGTCATATGCTTTCGGCGAAATGAAACGCCATATTACGCACTCTCGAATGAACTCTTCAGGGTAACTGTCATGCTTTTTCCCGTACCTTCCGATCTGATGTAGAAGGAAAACGGCCTTTTTTTTTCCCCTCGCTCAGCGTCTGCCACAATTTCCTCAAGTGCAGCCAAGTGCCTGTTTGCACGGTACGCGTCGCTTGCCTTTTGTTCAGCTCTCAGCAGAGGCAGAGACTTCTGACTTTGAGAACGGTGATAGGCGACTTGAGAGCGCAGTCTTCCAATCATAGAAAGGTACTGACTTGCTCGCTGCGCATCATTGTTAGTGGTCTGGGTGGAAACATTTGCAGACGGCTTGTCGAAACTCTCCGGAGCATCCAAACCCGCAGGTAGTTCCTCTGGCTCTGCCTTCCACTTAGTTGGTTTGCGAGGGGGCAAAGATTGTCTTACGACTGGTTCTTTCCAGGGCTTCTTCGCACTTGGCGCGAAGTATGCGGGATAAGCTTCAAAGACAGTTGGCACGGCTCCGGGAAGCAGCTTTCTTATCCTGCAGTCAGGAGCGTAATCGATCTGACGGAAGTGCCTGCTGCATACGACAGTCGACGGCAACCTGTCGTTTATTACGAGGTTCTGCCTTGAAATGTTCCACTGCCATTTTGAGCACAGTTCTTGATCCACAGGGAACTGGTGGAACGAAACCCCCGGCGTTTTCCCGGCACGCGATTTGCAGTACGGGACACAACAGTACACCATCACAGCACCGGTCGAAGCATATACACTGAGTTCACTTTACTATGTTGAACAACATGCAGCGCACTGCGATGAATTTCTGAAAACTCACGCCTTCAGCCTCTCTCAGACCGAAGAAAAGTAAGACGATATGATTGCGGTTAAATCACAGAAGCACAAACACTGCGAAAACAGCCCGCACGTGCGTCGAAAGCAGCCTGCAAATGCAAGCGCGCAAGCAGCGCAAGTGCCAGGCAAGGGTTGGCTCGCGTAGCCCCCGTGCGGAGACCGGCGGAACTGTACGTCGAGACTCCTCCCCTTTGTTCTCGCCGCCGCTGCGGAGGCCGTATGAAAGCGCGCGCGCCGCTCGCTCTCTAGCCCGGCCGTGGCGAGGCGAAATATCAAGCCCGGCTTGATCCCTCCCACATCCATACGTCAAATAACTCACGGCCCTCAGTCCCCAGCAGCTGCGAAGCAACTGACCATGGCGGCGGTCAGATCTGCAACGCAGCAGAGGGTGCTAAGAATCTCTGGACTACAGGCCGCCTTTGGAACCTGAACTTGGCAACGTTTAACGCTAGAACCTTATCTAGTGAGGGAAGTCTAGTTGTACTATTCGAGGAGCTAGAGGGTGTTAAATGGGATATAATAGGGCTCAGCGAGGTTAGGAGGACAGATGAAGCCTATACTGTGCTACAGAATGGGCACGTCCTTTGCTATCGGGGCTTGGCAGACAGAAGAGAACTGGGAGTGGGGTTCCTAATTCACAGAAACATAGCTGGCAACGTAGAGGAATACTATAGCATTAATGAAAGGGTGGTAGGTATTGTAATTAAACTGAACAAAAGATACAAGATGAAGGTAGTACAGGCTTACGCGCCTACATCCAGCCATGATGACGCTTCAGTTGAAAGCTTCTAAGAAGACGTGGAATCGGCAATGAGTAAGGTAAAAACACAGTATACTATAGTGATGGGCGACTTTAATGCAAAGGTAGGGAAGAAGCAGGCTGGAGACCAGGCAGTAGGAGATAATGGCATCGGCACTAGAAACGCCAGAGGAGAGCTACTAGTAGAATTCGCAGAACGCAATAATTTTCGGATTTTGAATACCTTCTACCGAAAACGAGAAAACCGCAAGTGGACATGGAGGAGCCATAATGGCGAAAATAAGATGGAAATAGACTTCATAATGACTGCACACCCAGGAATCGTGCAGAATGTGGAAGTGGTTGGCAAGGTACGATGCAGTGACCATAGAATGGTACGGTCTCGAATTCGCCTAGACTTGAAGAAGGAACGACAGAAACTGATACGCAAGAAGCCAATCAATGAGCTGTCACTGAGAGGGAAAGTACAGGAATTCAGAGTCTCGCTGCAGAACAGGTACTCGGCTCTTAGTGAGGAAACCAACCTTAGCGTAGATACAATGAATGATAACCTGACGAGTATCATTACGGAGTGTGCAGTGGAAGTTGGAGGCAGGGTAGTTAGACAGGACACTGGCAAGCTTTCCCAGGAAACGAAGAATCTCATTAAAAAGCGTCAAATGTCAAGTGTCAAGTACAACAGACAAAATAGAACTGGCAGAGCTTTCAAAGTTGATTAATAGACGTAAAGTATGCGATGTAAGAAGGTATAACATGGAGAGAATTGAACACGCTCTGAAAAACAGAGGAAGCGTCAAAGCAGTGAAGAGGAAACTTGGGATAAGCAAAAGTCGGATGTATGCACTAAGGGACAAAGAAGGCAAAATAACTACTAATATGGATAGGATAGTTAAAATAGCGGAGGAGTTTTACAGAGATCTGTACAGTAGCAGAGACAACCACGACCTTAATACTATAAGAACTAGCAGTAACCCAAATGACACCCCACCAGTAATGATAGAAGAAGTCAGAAAAGCTTTGGAGAGCATGCAAAGAGGCAAAACTGCTGGTGAGGATCAGGTAACATCAGATCTGCTGAAAGATGGAGGACAGATTGTGTTAGAAAAACTAGCCACCCTGTTTACGAGGTGTCTCCTGACGGGAAGGGTACCAGAGTCTTGGAAGAACGCTAACATCATCTTAATACATAAGAAAGGAGATAACAAGGACTTGAAGAATTACAGGCCGATCAGCTTGCTCTCTGTAGTATACCAGCTATTTACAAAGGTAATTGCTAACAGAGTAAAGAAAACATTGGAATTCAATCAACCAAAGGAACAAGCAGGATTTCGAACAGGCTACTCAACAATTGACCACATTCATACTATCAATCAGGTAATAGAGAAATGCTCAGAGTATAATCAATCACTATACATAGCCTTCATAGACTACGAGAAGGCGTTTGATTCAGTAGAAATATCAGCCGTCATGCAGACACGGCGGAATCAGGGCGTAGATGAAGTATATATAAATATTCTGGAAGAAATCTACAGGGGATCAACTGCTACCATAGTGCTTCATAAAGAAAGCAACAGAATACCAATCAAGAAGGGTGTAAGGCAGGGGGACACAATCTCCCCAATGCTATTTACCGCGTGCTTACAGGAGGTTTCCAGAAGCCTAGAATGGGAACAGTTAGGGATAAGAGTTAATGGAGAATACCTTAGTAACCTGCGCTTTGCTGATGACATTGCATTGCTGAGTAACTCAGGGGATGAATTGCAACTCATGATTACGGAGTTAGACAAGGAGAGCAGAAAGGTGGGTCTTAAAATTAATCTGCAGAAAACGAAATTAATGTACAACAACCTCGGAAAGGAGCAGCGCTTCGAGATAGGTAATAGTGCACTTGAAGTTGTAAAAGACTATGTCTACTTAGGGCAGGTAATAACCGCAGAGCCTAACCACGAGATTGAAGTAACTAGAAGAATAAGAATGGGGTGGAGCACATTCGGCAAGCACTCTCAAATTATGACAGGTAGATTGCCACTATCCCTCAAGAGGAAGGTATATAACAGCTGTATCTTGCCGGTACTTAGCTACGGAGCAGAAACCTGGAGACTTACAAAGAGGGTTCAGCTTAAATTGAGGACGACGCAGCGAGCAATGGAAAGAAAAATGGTAGGTGTAACCTTAAGAGACAAGAAGAGAGAAGAGTGGATTAGGGGACAAACGGGGGTTAAGGATATCATAGTTGAAATAAAGAAGAGGAAATGGACATGGGCCGGGCATGTAGCGCGTAGACAGGATAACCGCTGGTCATTAAGGGTAACTAACTGGATTCCCAGAGAAGGGAAGCGGGTTAGGGGGAGACAGAAGGTTGGGTGGGCAGATGAGATTAAGAAGTTTGCGGGTATAAATGGCAGCAGCAAGCACAGGACCGGTTTAACTGGCGGAACATGGGAGAGGCCTTTGTCCTGCAGTGGACGTAGTCAGGCTGATGATGATGATGATGATGATGATGATGATGATGATGATGATGATGATGATGATGATGATCCCTCGCGCCTGCTCGCGTGTGCCCCTCCGAAGCCGACGCCGAGAGGCACATTTAACGCTTTTGACGCGTAGGCGCGAGCATACGCGTACCAGTGGTTGGCACTTAGTCAAAGCTCATCTGTGCGGCAAAGGTATATTTTTTTTTAATGATTTCTTCTATCATAAGAGCTTGGCAATCATGGTTATTTTGAGTATGTGGCTTTAGTGAACTCCTCATGCGAAATGCATGGCAAGCAGATAGGTGACAATTTCCAAAAGACTCTACACAATGAGCTTTTTTTTAGTTTTTAGTAGTCACCTTGTGCTCTTCAAAATTAATTTTATCTACAGCCAATTTCAGAGAGTGAATTAGTAGCGACATTTTTGACACTCAGTAATAGCAAAGCCACTGACGCGGACAATATTCAGATGAAACCTGTTAAGTATGTTATTGACATACTAGCACCCTGTCTTGCCTACATTTTTAACATATGTTTGTCCACAGGACATTTCCCGCGAAACATGCAGATAGCAAAAGTGACAGTTATCTATAAAAAGGGTCCCAGAAATGACATGTCCAACTACCGCCCTATATCGATTCTACCTGTATTCTCTAAGGGTCTGGAAAAAATAATTTTGAAACGTTTGAACTCTTTACTGACAAGTTCAACTTGAGTACTTCAGCGCAGTATGGCTTCCGGAAAAATAAATCTACTGAGCTCGCGCTACTGGCACAAAAAGAATACATTCTAGAGAATTTTGAATCCCGAAATATGGTACTCGGTCTTTTTCTTGATTTCTCAAAAGCCTTTGACCTCATTAATCATAAAATTCTCCTACAAAAGTTGGACCATTACGGTATAAGAGGCGTTGCACACAAATTAATCACTTCATACTTGCAACACCGAACTCAATTCGTCGTAATTCAAGGCAAACATTCCGCAACAAAATCCATTAAAACAGGCGTCCCGCAGGGAAGCATTTTGGGACCGTTTCTCTTTATACTTTACGTTAATGAGATAGTTCGTATTGATGAATCTGCCCATCACATTATATATGCTGACGACACAAGTTTGTTTTTTTCAAGCAGATGTAGCAGCGATCTAGGTAGCCGAGCGAATAACGCACTGTCTAAAATTAACACATGGGCCCAAGAAAACTCTCTAAAACTAAACATAAAAAAAACAAAAGCTGTTTTATTTCACCCCCGCCACACACAAGTTCAGTTTCCCATCATTTCGTTAAATAATTTAGAAATTGAAGTCGTCAAAAGTTTTAAATCATTAGGCGTGTATTTTTTCACAAACATGACATGGGATGATCACGTGAACCATATTATTACTAAACTATCTCGTATAATCGGCGTCATGCGCCGTCATTGCTACTATTTTCCTGTTTCTGTAAACATGCTCATATATAACTCGTTGTTTTCTTCATTATTGAATTATGCCTTTCTTGTATGGTCCACAACGACAACTGTAAACGTTTGCAAACTTACCATCTTGCAAAAGAAAGCCTTGCGTCTTGCCTCTAAATTACCACATCGCAGCCACACAGCAGAATTGTTTAAAAAACACTACATCATTCGGGTTGCATCAATATATGATTATAAACTAAGCCGTTTATATAAGTTCGGTTTATTG